ACAGATCGCTAGTAATATAAAACTTTATCAATATATTGCTTGCACCGCGAAGGTTATATGCATAGTTTGACCCGGTAGGTGGCGCTGTTGTAGAATCCAGATATTACCCGTGCGAAGCCGGGGCAGGTCGCTAGTAATATAAAACTTTATCAACATATTGCTTGCACCGCGAAGGTTATATGCATAGTTGGACCCGGTAGGTGGCGCTGTTGTAGAATCCAGATATTACCCGTGCGAAGCCGGGGCCGGTCGCTAGTAATATAAAACTTTATCAACATATTGCTTGCACCGCGAAGGTTATATGCATAGTTGGACCCGGTGGGTGGCGCTGTTGTAGAATCCAGATATTACCCGTGCGAAGCCGGGGCAGGTCGCTAGTAATATAAAACTTTATCAACATATTGCTTGCACCGCGAAGGTTATATGCATAGTTGGACCCGGTAGGTGGCGCTGTTGTAGAATCCAGATATTACCCGTGCGAAGCCGGGGCCGGTCGCTAGTAATATAAAACTTTATCAACATATTGCTTGCACCGCGAAGGTTATATGCATAGTTGGACCCGGTAGGTGGCGCTGTTGTAGAATCCAGATATTACCCGTGCGAAGCCGGGGCCGGTCGCTAGTAATATAAAACTTTATCAACATATTGCTTGCACCGCGAAGGTTATATGCATGGTTGGACCCAGTAGGTGGCGCTGTTGTAGAATCCAGATATCACCCGTGCGAAGCCGGGGCAGGTCGCTGGTAGTATAGAACTTTATCAGCATATTGCTTGCACCGCGAAGGTTATATGCATAGTTGGACCCGGTAGGTGGCGCTGTTGTAGAATCCAGATATTACCCGTGTGAAGCCGGGACAGATCGCTAGTAATATAAAACTTTATCAATATATTGCTTGCACCGCGAAGGTTATATGCATAGTTTGACCCGGTAGGTGGCGCTGTTGTAGAATCCAGATATTACCCGTGCGAAGCCGGGGCAGGTCGCTAGTAATATAAAACTTTATCAACATATTGCTTGCACCGCGAAGGTTATATGCATAGTTGGACCCGGTAGGTGGCGCTGTTGTAGAATCCAGATATTACCCGTGCGAAGCCGGGGCCGGTCGCTAGTAATATAAAACTTTATCAACATATTGCTTGCACCGCGAAGGTTATATGCATAGTTGGACCCGGTGGGTGGCGCTGTTGTAGAATCCAGATATTACCCGTGCGAAGCCGGGGCAGGTCGCTAGTAATATAAAACTTTATCAACATATTGCTTGCACCGCGAAGGTTATATGCATAGTTGGACCCGGTAGGTGGCGCTGTTGTAGAATCCAGATATTACCCGTGCGAAGCCGGGGCAGGTCGCTAGTAATATAAAACTTTATCAACATATTGCTTGCACCGCGAAGGTTATATGCATAGTTGGACCCGGTGGGTGGCGCTGTTGTAGAATCCAGATATTACCCGTGCGAAGCCGGGGCAGGTCGCTAGTAATATAAAACTTTATCAACATATTGCTTGCACCGCGAAGGTTATATGCGTAGTTGGACCCGGTAGGTGGCGCTGTTGTAGAATCCAGATATTACCCGTGCGAAGCCGGGGCAGGCCGCTAGTAATATAAAACTTTATCAACATATTGCTTGCACCGCGAAGGTTATATGCATAGTTGGACCCGGTAGGTGGCGCTGTTGTAGAATCCAGATATTACCCGTGCTAAGCCGGGGCCGGTCGCTAGTAATATAAAACTTTATCAACATATTGCTTGCACCGCGAAGGTTATATGCATAGTTGGACCCGGTAGGTGGCGCTGTTGTAGAATCCAGATATCACCCGTGCGAAGCCGGGGCAGGTCGCTGGTAGTATAGAACTTTATCAGCATATTGCTTGCACCGCGAAGGTTATATGCATAGTTGGACCCGGTAGGTGGCGCTGTTGTAGAATCCAGATATTACCCGTGTGAAGCCGGGACAGATCGCTAGTAATATAAAACTTTATCAATATATTGCTTGCACCGCGAAGGTTATATGCATAGTTTGACCCGGTAGGTGGCGCTGTTGTAGAATCCAGATATTACCCGTGCGAAGCCGGGGCAGGTCGCTAGTAATATAAAACTTTATCAACATATTGCTTGCACCGCGAAGGTTATATGCGTAGTTGGACCCGGTAGGTGGCGCTGTTGTAGAATCCAGATATTACCCGTGCGAAGCCGGGGCCGGTCGCTAGTAATATAAAACTTTATCAACATATTGCTTGCACCGCGAAGGTTATATGCATAGTTGGACCCGGTGGGTGGCGCTGTTGTAGAATCCAGATATTACCCGTGCGAAGCCGGGGCAGGCCGCTAGTAATATAAAACTTTATCAACATATTGCTTGCACCGCGAAGGTTATATGCGTAGTTGGACCCGGTAGGTGGCGCTGTTGTAGAATCCAGATATTACCCGTGCGAAGCCGGGGCCGGTCGCTAGTAATATAAAACTTTATCAACATATTGCTTGCACCGCGAAGGTTATATGCATAGTTGGACCCGGTGGGTGGCGCTGTTGTAGAATCCAGATATTACCCGTGCGAAGCCGGGGCCGGTCGCTAGTAATATAAAACTTTATCAACATATTGCTTGCACCGCGAAGGTTATATGCATAGTTGGACCCGGTAGGTGGCGCTGTTGTAGAATCCAGATATTACCCGTGCGAAGCCGGGGCCGGTCGCTAGTAATATAAAACTTTATCAACATATTGCTTGCACCGCGAAGGTTATATGCATAGTTGGACCCGGTAGGTGGCGCTGTTGTAGAATCCAGATATTACCCGTGCGAAGCCGGGGCAGGCCGCTAGTAATATAAAACTTTATCAACATATTGCTTGCACCGCGAAGGTTATATGCATAGTTGGACCCGGTAGGTGGCGCTGTTGTAGAATCCAGATATTACCCGTGCGAAGCCGGGGCCGGTCGCTAGTAATATAAAACTTTATCAACATATTGCTTGCACCGCGAAGGTTACATGCATAGTTGGACCCAGTAGGTGGCGCTATTGTAGAATCCAGATATCACCCGTGCGAAGCCGGGGCAGGTCGCTAGTAATATAGAACTTTATCAACATATTGCTTGCACCGCGAAGGTTATATGCATAGTTGGACCCGGTAGGTGGCGCTGTTGTAGAATCCAGATATTACCCGTGCGAAGCCGGGGCAGATCGCTAGTAATATAAAACTTTATCAACATATTGCTTGCACCGCGAAGGTTATATGCATAGTTTGACCCGGTAGGTGGCGCTGTTGTAGAATCCAGATATTACCCGTGCGAAGCCGGGGCCGGTCGCTAGTAATATAAAACTTTATCAACATATTGCTTGCACCGCGAAGGTTATATGCATAGTTGGACCCGGTAGGTGGCGCTGTTGTAGAATCCAGAAATAACCCGTGCGAAGCCGGGGCAGACCGCAAGTAATATAAAACTTTATCAACATATTGCTTGCACCGCGAAGGTTATATGCATAGTTGGACCCGGTAGGTGGCGCTGTTGTAGAATCCAGATATTACCCGTGCGAAGCCGGGGCAGGTCGCTAGTCTTTTGAAAATATACGACTTAACTTAATTCATTTGTTGAATATAGATTATCAAAATACTTGTAATTTGTAAGACAATTAAATTTCTGCGACTTGATTGCTTTGCTTATCCATTGCAATTTTTGTTAAAATCTGTAGATGTTGATATTATTCTTACTCGTCTTTATAAATCATATGTTTTAAAATCTTATAAGAACTTAGCGTGTCTTTCATAGGTAGGTATGTATGTTTTAAATAGGCTAAACTCTGTTGCTAGCGATCGTGTGGCTGTCATAAATTACATTTAACTTAAGAGCTGATACAGAATATTTAAAACAATTAAAATCAAAAATATTTAGAATCACTTTATATCAATTTGCCATCTGATTATAAATTGAACATCATTTGGAATATTTTTTATAGAATAAGGGTAACAAACGAGCATACACTCCACCCGATGGTAAGCGGTTGCCGTGGCCCATAGACATCTACATTTATCTTCAATGAAGAATCAAAATGCAGATGCGTTGTCACCCTGAAAACTGAGATGATCTCGTTTCCGTAAGAAGGGTCTCCGGTTCTCTACACTCATCATACGAAACACAGCAGCATTAATCTGCTATTTTACGCTGGTATTCTATGATAGCATGGTCTTACCCCGGCCGAGCCGACCCATTTGTGCTATACCACTATAGACCAATATAGCTGCAGCTTGGCTCTACCACGTAAAATATATTATTCTACATATTTTTTTTAAATATTGACCTCCATGTTTCCTCCTGCGTGTTTTAATTATTTTCCGGGCTTTGTGTAACAGTTAATCTGTATATTATATTCAGTACTTCATTATCCGTACAACCCTTCGAAAGTCCACTGCTGGGCATAGTCCTCTCCCAAGGATCGCCACGAAACACGACTCAGAAAGCTGCATCAATTATGTCTTACCAGGTCGTGACTCCATCTAGTGAAAAGTGCCCTTAAAATTTCGCATACCGGTATGAAGCTGCCACTCGTATTTATAAGCTATAAAATAAGAATCTTATAATGTGTATTATACATGTGAAAGTTTGTGAATGTTTTTGGGTGTTCATTACACAATCAATCGTAAACGCCTAAATAGATTTTAATGAAACTCAATGGGCTGACCGATTAGTGAGTTCAAGTGAGGTTAACTTTTGGAAAAAAAGCATCGTAAAAGACATAAGTTTCTAACTTGGGAAATGCATGACAACATATTCTTGTGGCCACCTGTAGATGGCATTATAATAAAATTCTTAGACCTGCGTGGCTAAGCAGCGTCGAGAGAAGCAGCATTGTCTGGTATTGCGATCGACAATCTAACTTCCAAGCGCAGGGATTACGGCAAATTCTCTCCACTTTGGATAAGTTAGGTGATTGATAAGGGCGTTTCTTTTAAGACTACTAGCAGGGATATAAACACTATCTAATTCAATTTGTAATTATTTTTACAGGCGACAAACACATCGGATATGCCGTATAACTTCATGATATCGTCAGATGGGGAGACGTTCGAAGCTCTCGGTTGGAGAAGACGGTCGCCTCTGTTTCCTCAATACTCTGCGGATGCCTTAGTGTAAGCTTTTCTAGGTAATCTTTAAATAATGTGCTTTTATTAAGTTTTGGCTATTTTAAGTACAGAAACAAAGAATCATGTCCATTATTGACCTGAAAATTTTCTAATGTGTCTAGTGATGTAAAATATCTTATAAAAGTAGTTACGTTGTACCAGTTCTGGCTCACTGAGTCAGAAGTGGTACAAGTACGACGTTCGTCGACTCACGATGCTAAAAAAAGGTTTTGGCATGCTCTGATCACGAATCCATTTTTGCGTAGGATGCACGGTTCCGGAGATGTGCAGATCAATTAACTCTTATCTAATTGATATCCGGTGCGGGCCTCCACCGTCATTAGCGCCCCATTATTCTTATCTACTTATCTATTGTTCATTGAATACCGTCATTATCTATTCTTCCTCAGCGTGGTGCTATTATATTATACTCCTTTGTTCCTATCTACACTAATCTGACTCATCAATAAAACACATTACCTAATTTTGTTAAAATTTTTATTTACAAAATACAAAATCTTATTACTTATTATTTATAAAATAGGAGCGAAACATCTCATCCACTAAAATATCGTTGTACAATGTGTTCCCTGTAAATATACTCGTAAAACTATGCATTGAACATCCCTGAAAGTTATATAGCAAATACATTAAGCAATATTCGCCACAAACTGAAGTCCACTCATTCTGAATCCTATCAACATTCCAGTTCCATCTTTTACAATTTATTTTTAAAAACTCTAGATGATATCGTACAGGTGCCCGTCCGAATGAATCAAAATATTGACCGACGTCATTCGTATCGATATATAAAGCTACCCAATGTGACCCTGGTTTATCATCTGTATCCAAATTGCATATTATATACGTTGGTACGTGGGTGTTATTTGTGTTACTTCAACGCATCAAAGGCCATGGATGTAAGTGTTTATTCTATTGGCAAACTTACTTTTCTTTCTGTTATTTTCTTACGTGTGTATGATTTAGTGTTAACAAATTATATTTAAATATTTTGTGTGTATATAATTAAGCCGTGGTAGCTCAGATGGTTAGCGCAAAATGTAAATTTCACAATACGCGACCCGGGTTCGATCCCCGCCGGAACCAATTAAATTGTTAATTGCAATTTTAAGTGCTGATTTACCACGTGCTCAGCGGTGAAGGAAAACATCGTGAGGAAACCTGCATGTCTGAGAAAATTTCGAAGGCATGTGAAGTTTGCCAACACGCATTGAGACAGCGCAGCGAACATTTCCTAGCCCTAAAACCCTCTCAGAAATGAGAGGAGGCCTATGTTCAGCAGTGGACTTTAATAGGCTGTAACTTTAACTTTTTTAACTTTTATGATTAAGTGTTAACAAATTAATATTAACATGATAACTGTCTTGTTGCAGAAATCATTGAGCTTCGATGAAAATACCTATAAACAGTAATACTACTCGCGACTCTCCCCTCAAGGAGAGAGTGATGACATCGTCATTAATAATAACACATGCGATGGTGGAAAAAGAAAATCGCAATCGATTGATCATTTTTTTGAAGCTAAATCAAAAATAAAAAAGAGGAAGCTGTTATCATCAACCGTAGCACGAGCCGCTAGAGATGGTGTTTCATACATTTCTACTAATTCTGACGACGGAGACCAAGCGACGCATCTCATCAAAATTGAAATGTACGATATAAAGAAGCTATCCAAGATTCCAACTACTGATCATTGGAAACATGCTTCCACGAGGCTTAAATATTACGTAAAGACGAATAAGGATAGCATCTACGACAACACAAACGCCCTCGTATACAATATTACAAACACAATAGCAGAAAGTGAAAAAGTTAAAAAATACTTTTTTAACAATGACAGTCATTAGCTGATCACTAGTGAATGTGATTCTGTTTACTTAAATTACTTCTGTGTACTCATTATATTCTATTTCTAATCCTTTGCTAGACTATAAATATCGGACATTATTTGAAATTTGGGTATCAGTTTGGTCTACCAACCGTGAAGTGTGCACCAGTGCTTTCTTCTCCACAACCATGGAAGAGAATACGGAACTATTCAACAGCGAATTAAATCAGTTGTCTAAAGTTTGTGATGAAATGGAGAAGGATCAACTGTTCGATTCATCGTATGATGATGAGTTGTATAATCACTGTGCAATGGTTGAAGCACAGTTTAAGTAAGTGAAATAAACATTCATTTCGATCATAATTTACACATTGTCTTATACAGTTTTTAATAAATTTAAACATTTTAGTAGTCAACCACTACAACTTGGAAGAGGAACGAAGCGAACGAGCAGCAAAGAACCCAAGATCATCAAAAAACCAACAACGGAAGCAGAAGCGCCTACCTCTGCAGGGAACAGTATCAGTAACGATGATCAAGTGGAATGTCTAACGTGTCATATATTTATCAAGAAACGGTATTTAAAGTAATGTTCACAAAAATAATCTTTTAAATTCACATAATTCTTTATCAAACGTTAGTGTTATTGAATCTGCTTTTGGAAATAAGATTTTAACTTATAAAATCAAGAGTAGAGTAGATAGTTCGACATTGGTAAATTTTGAAACTCCTGAACTATTTTTAAATTCTATTAAAGATGATATTTTATTTTTAATACAAGAGTGTATTCATCAACACATAATTTTTAAAGTAAACTTCGTATTGCATGCTGATTTTGTTCAACAAACTATAATATATTTATAATACGTTCGATTTTCAAACGCTTAACTATATTATTTGTCAAGGAGATGACTTAAATATTTTTTTTTAATCTTTAAATGATACAATTACTACTAAAATTAGTGCATTTGAAAAAAAAGATAGTGGATGGAGTCTAAAAAACATAAAATCTATATACATGAATGTTAATAAATTTAACCCCCTACGCGGTACTTCATACATAGATCTTCCTCGTGACATAAAATTAAAAAAGGCTGTTATAAATGTAAAAAGCAAGGATCATTTTTGTTTTAAATGGGCGTTACTCTCGGCGTTATATCCCGTAAACAAAAACACGGAACGGGTATCATCGTACGTTAAACATGCAAATAAACTTAAATTTGATGGTATTTCCTTTCCAGTTAAAATTTCTGACATAGCTAAAGTAGAGAAATTAAATGATATTAGTATTAATGTTTTTGGGTTAGAATATAATAAAGAAAAACGATGTAATTCTATAGTAGGTCCATTATTTTTAACAAAGTGTAAAGATAAACATATCAATTTATTATTTTTTTCCAAGGATACAAAAAATCACTATTGTTACATAAAAAATTTATCGCTGTTAGTTAGTAAACAAATTTCAAAAGACGGTCACATCATGTACATTTGCGAAGCATGTCTACTTCATTTTCCATCTCAGGAGAGATTAAATAACCATGAACAATACGATTGTACCCACATTTGTACAGAATTACCAAACAGTGAAACTTTAAAAAAAAAAAGAATTGGTTTGGTCAACCCACTTCAAATGATAAAATTAAATTTGATAGTTATGAAAAAAAGTTAAAGATACCATTCGTAGTTTATGCTGATTTTGAAGCATTTTTAAAACCAATAGAATCATGTTCTAACGATCCTTCCAAACCTTTCACACACAATATTCAGAAACATGAAGTACATAGTTTTGGTTATTATATAAAATGTTCATATGATGATAAATTATCAAAATATGTAACATATTGCGGACCCAACTGTGCACAAGTGTTTATGGAAAGTTTATCTAACAATCTAAAAGAAATAAATAGACTTCAAAAATATCCTCCACTTCCGCTAACAAATGAAGACAAAAACCAAATTTCAAATGCAACCATTTGTCATATTTGTGAAACAGAGTTAGCAGAACATTTTTATGATTTTGATTGGTACACCGGTAGTTTTATAGGTGTTGCTCATGAATCATGTAGCTCGAAGTTCAGAACACCTCGTTATATACCAATATTTTTACACAACCTTAGTCACTATGATGCTCATTTTATTGTTCACGCGTTAAACTTTTGTGATGGTGAAGTCGAAGTTATCCCTCAAAATAAAGAAAAATATAATCCTTTTCCAAAAAATTTAAAATGAATAACCACGAAATTATATTAAGATTCATAGATTCATTTAAGTTTTTATCATGTAAATTAGAAGAATTGGCCAAAAATCTCAGTAATGATCAATTTCAAGAATTACGTAGAAATTATCCTAATGATGAAGATTTCTTTCGTTTAAAACGGAAAGGCGTTTATCCATATGAACTTATGACTAATTATGATAGTTTAAGCCTAACATCGCTCCCTGAACAAAAAAAAATTATAGCTCGCTCACAGATTCCCATATTTCAAATGATGATTACAATCTTGCTATAGATGTTTGGGAACACTTTGGGTGTTGTAATATGCTAGATTATTCAAACCTGTATTTAAAAACAGACGTTTTACTTTTATCCGATGTATTTGAAAACTTTAGAAAGTTATGTATTAATACTTATGATTTAGACCCTGCCCATTATTACACAGCACCCGGTTTAAGTTGGGATGCAATGTTAAAATATACAAAAATAGAATTAGAACTTTTAACAGATTATGAGAAAATTGCATTTATTAGATCAGGTGTCAGGGGTGGTGTATCTCAATGTAGTAATCGTTATGCTAGAGCTAATAACAAATACATGGGGGATTATGATGCAGGGAAACCAAATTCATATATCACATATTTTGATGCCAACAATTTATATGGGTGGGCTATGTCTCAATGTCTTCCTACTGGTGGATTCGAATGGGTAAATCCGAATACAGAATTTAATGTGTCTGAGACATCGGACTTCGGTTTTATTTTAGAAGTTGATTTGGATATCCAGATGAACTTCATGATTTACATTCGGACTTTCCTTTATGTCCCGAAAACATTTGTGCAGGCAATATTAATGAAAATAAACTAGTCCCAAATTTAAATAATAAAGATAAATATGTAATTCATTACAGAAATTTAAAGCAGTGCATAGAAATGGGGGTTAAATT